GCCACATGAATGGGAAATCAAACTTTATTAATGATACCAAGAATACAAGTAATCAGATGGCATAGTCAAATAATGCAGAGCTTAGCTAAGGATTCCAGGCCCTTTAAAAACCGCCATTAGAGGTTTTCTGGTCCAGGCATCCATAATAAAGGAACCATTTAGGTCAAAGCTTCTCTGTTTTATATTCCTATGGTTATTGCTTACATGATATGCTCCCTGAAATCACGTCCTTTAAACCATGTACTTCAAGAGTTTCTAAATAACCAAGCGTATTCTGCAAAACCTTTCCTACATTAAGCCTTTTCTTCCATAAAACCATTTAGTTCGTTTGCCATAAATGCTGTCATTAGTACGTTTATAGGGAGATTATTTGTCTTCTTTCATCTCAGGGTCATCTCCTCGCTGAGCCAGGAGACTAAATGCATTTCAGACCTGATGTTTGATCATTGATTTCCCACGAAATTGGGGCAGAACAATGGAATAAACCTGAAAATAAATGGAAGAATTAATGAAGTAGAAATGAAGATAAAATGGAGAAAACAGACAATGCCAAACAAAGCAGCAAACCCTGGTTCATTGAAGATATTAGTGAAATTGATAATCTCACAAGATTAACAACAACCACCAAAATGAAGATAAAACAATAAATATCAAAAGTACAGTTGTAGCTCAAGATTACAAGGATAATAAGAGCACAGCTACTATAATTTTATGGCAATAAATCATAAATCTCATTGAACAGATAGAATCTTAGAGGAAAACTTGCCACCAACCAAGTAATGGCAAGAACATGAGAAAAAGGATTGTTGGGAGCTATGAATATTATTAACTGTAAATTAAGATTTTTATAATAAGAATAACAGAATTGAATGCTTTTGTTATACACTCAGTCAAAATTTTATACCATAATAAACTCATATTTTTAATTCCATTTTCCATCAACTTTTTGAAGCACCCTTGTGGAAATGAAACAACGGACAGAGTAGAAGGCACAGGCAAGGAAAGATGAAGAACAGAATCAATGTGATGGCTGGGAGTCAAGGGATAGCATTTTAACCTGATGAATCAAGTAGTTGGATTGTTAACATATTTGCAAATACAAATACAAACCCTAAAATTATACTATTGACTAAAATTATTACATAAACTAACAATGATGCATAGAAGACATGAGTTAATTTTATTGTTGCTCAATAGGTCTAGAGAAAGAGGGAACTGAGGAAATGTTATACAAATAAAATTCTAACATAGCCAGTAGAAAAGAAATACAAGCAGGCTTCAGAAAGATGAAGGAAAAATGAAATTGAAAAATATTAGAAAATTTCCATGAACTTTTAAAAGCCTCCTCATCCAAAATTTCTGAAATACCAGAAAACCAAAGTAAAAGGTAAAGATAATAGAACACAGAGGAATATGTGTATTTATGAAAAGGGAAGAGACTTCCAGTTTCTACTCTGATTTACAAAGAATTTGGGAGTTGTCACTTCTGTCTTCACAAAGAAGAGAAAAGCTGAACCAGCTGAAGGTTATCAATACTTCCAGAGAGATTGAGAACTGAGGTTTTAAGGGAACCTGTTACTCTTAGACCCGAAGTGAATACAGAGAATCAGCGTTACCAGGAGCAGAAGCCAAGGAGCAGAAGAAGCCCACAGTGGAAGCCAGACATAGCAGGTGCATTTCAGTAAGTGACTCTAGGGGTCTAGCCCTACAAAGTTAAACGCGGTTGACTCCATTATCACCGTTCAGGTTCTTCTGTATTTACATGATGAGTTGAAAACTATGTCCATGAAAATAACCTCTGCAAAAATCTTTATAGCAGCTTTATATTTGTTCAAAATTGAGAGTAATCCAAATGTCCTTCAAAAGGCAAATGGGTAAACTGTGATGTATCCCAAGAACTGGACGTTGCTAAGCAGCAAACACAAAGGAGCTGTCAAGCCACAAGAAGACCTGGAAGAACCTTGCATGCATGTTACTAGGTGAAAAGGCTGATCTGAGAAAGCTACCTGCTGTAACGTTCTGACTCTATGATATTCTGGAAAGATGAAAGCATAGTGACAATGCAAAGATGAGTCGGTGCCAGGGTTTTGGGAGAAAGAAAAGGAAGGATAAGCAGGTTGAGCACAGTGGATTTTTAGGGCAACAAAACTATTCTATATGCTACTGTAGTGGAGGACATATGACACTGTGTATTTACAAAAATCCATAGAACTGTGAAGCAAACAGTAAACTTTGATGAAAACTATGGACATTTATTAATAATAATATTTGCAACTAATATGCCACATTAATACAAGATGTTAATAATAGGGGAAAGGGTATTTGGAGTATTTAGGAACTCCCTGTACTCTCTGCTCTATTTTCTATAATCCTAAAAATACTCTTAAAGAATATACTAATTTAAAATTTGAAAAGACTAAATATATAAATTATAGCAGTGAAGATAACTTGAATTTTTGCATTTTTAAACTATTTTTTTTAATTTGAGGTAAACAAATTTCCTGCATTTCATGTATACAGATTTAGGAACATAGTGATACTTCCACCTTGCCCTCCCTCCCACCCACTCTCTCACCCTTCCTCCTCCTTCCTCTCTTTTTCCCTCCCTTAATTTTTGCAATGATCTACTTGCAGTTTAGTTTATACTCATGAGATCACCCCTAGTCTAAATAGCGTTCACCAAGTAGTAAGAAGGAAGAAACACTTTCTCAATAGTAGACAAGGGCTGTAAACAATCATTATTGACTCTTGGGGCAAGAGTTATGGTTCCAAGGGGTTACTAAGGAAACCTTTTGATCTGGAAACTCCTCCTCTCAGGGTCCTGGTCGCTGTAAACTCTAGTCCTCACCTTGGTGTCTTGCTTACTAGCCTACAGTTCCAGCGCAGGATCAGTGAGGTCCATAGGGCTGAGCTTTTTTAGGCATCACAAGGTCAAGGTATGAGAAGGTCTTTGAGTCCTTCGAGTTTTAGGGGAGGTTGGGGAAAATGGGTTCTTTGAATGAAATACCAGAAGATACTGCGCTTAGGCCTTTTTCTCTACTAAATCTGGCCTCCTTTGAACAGAGCTGTACTGTACTGAACTTTTCTATCTTCCTAGATTTGTAAATACACACACACAAAAAAGGCAGAAAAAATTTTTACCTTATATCAGAAGTATCCAAAAAGTTCTTGGAAAATGCGTATTATGAAGAAATTACGAATGGACTTAAATTTTTTTGCACCAAAATAAACATCTTTTATTCCATTTCCACAAACTTTCTGGACTGTTTTTATAGTACCCTTTCTGAAAAACATTGCATAGCTTGTTCTTGTGTGAGGACAGAGCGGGATGGAGGTACAATTCCCCCCCAACCACCACACGTAATTAGGTCATTTTTGCAAGTTAGTGTCTCAGAGGAGAAATCTGCATCCACCAAGCTTTGTTCTTTAGCAGAACAGTGATCCCAAGCCTCCCACCCCTCTTCTCTCCCAGAGCTATGCCTCCAATCCTGTGGTGGTGTTTGGCTTCTTGCTTATCTACCCACCACTCTCTCCTTTTCTTTTGCAATCTGGGAAAAGCTCTATATAGCTTATCTCTGTTCATTTTATTTGATCAGTTTGTTTTCTTCCTCCATTTTTCACTGAAGTTCTAAAACTTCATTTTTGGTTTTCTTACAATCTTTAACTTTCCTTTTCTTTCCTTCCTCTCTCTTCCAGTTAGGTTCTCTTAAAACAGCCTGTTCAGTTGTTTGGATTTTTTTCTTTTTCACAAAGGCTGTATAATGGTGTGCTCTTTTCTAAAGTGTTTTTCCTATAGTAAGTCATTTTTGGCTATTTTCTCTCACTTTGAGTTTTTAAAAATAAGTTCCTGAGACATGAAATTACAGTGTGAGTCCTTAGATTCCACACTGACTTTGCATTTTATGCCTTTAGTCATCAGAAGAAATCAATTCAGCCCATTCAGACAGTGTGTGCAGCCTTTCCTTGCTGCACTGTCAGGGCCGGGCTCCTGACATCAACACTGCAGCCAGATAGGAAACTCCGTACCTAGAGCAATTATCGGGGTTTAGCAGACAATGAACTAACAACACAGATGTGTTCCCATGTTAACGTGCTTCCTGGGACAGGCCTTTGGAGCACTAGGAGATGCCTGCATCCCACATTGCCGTGCCTGGGTTCGAGTCCTGCTCAGCTGTCCATCCAGCTTTCTGCTCATGCGCACTCTCAGAAGCAGCGGATGATGGCTCAAGTACCTGCTGTGTGCCACCCATGTGGGAGACCCGGACTGAGTTCTAAGCTCCTGGCAGTTGCTCTGTATTTTGTCATTTTTAAAAATATTTTTGAATATTTTTAAAAGTGTGAATTACTATAGGCATTTCTAAAATAAATCATTTAACCACTGGAAACAGAAGCTTAGATTAAATAATCCGCTAAGGTAAATTCTGTAGCAATAGATTTTATTCTTCATAGTCCAACCATCTTTTCTGAGAATTTTATCTATTTCAGATGTATTCACTGAAAGCCTTTTTATTATTTCTGTTTTTCCCTGTAAATTTGTATGATAAACCGTGCCTTGCAAATTATTCTCAACCCATAACCATTCTTTGAATGAATAAATAAGGGTTTCCAGGAAACAATACCATTTTAAGGCTTTGTCCTATGGTTGTATTTTAGTCTCATCCATTTCAAATTGGAGTCATGAGTTTGTCACAAAAAATACTGAAATTGCATTTTTATTTGGCAATTAATTATTTGATTACATAAATGGTCAAATATTCCTTCCGTGGGAATACAAGGCGGCAGTTCATTTGTGTGAGTGAGTTGCTTCTTGCTTTTTCACCACAGTTATTAATTTTGAGCAAGAAATAACGTGTGGCTTCCTCTCACTGCTTGCCATGCTTCCATTCTTGTGTAGGGAGGAAGCAACACGTGGACCACAAGGCTTGCACATCACTTATTCCCTGTGAATCTTGCAAATCAAATGCCACAAACATTCCTTCTTCCTGGAGAAGTCAGGAACAGGAAATGCTAAGTCCCCACCCTTCAATCACACAGAGCAAGAGAGAAACAAATCAGTTTAAATTCTCGGAGCTTGGGGACTATTACTTTAAGAATGAAGGTGGAAGAAGGGAAGAGAGTTAAGAAATTCCAGTTATCATGTAAGAGTGATTACTTTTTGCCTTTTCTTATTAAAGTTTTTCCTACACTGTGAATAGTGCATGATTACAAATAGATACTTTGATTTTCTATAGAAATTGCAAAGTTCCATTTACTAGTGGAAAAATCAACTTTGTTCCTTCAGAAAAATTTCACATTACTCCCAAGGTTAAAAGAAAAAGAGTTCCTTTCCTTTCTTGGCGATGCCACCTATAATTAGAAAGGGCTTTGGATTGCTCAATGCTGACGCTCAGACTCCCTAATGCATAAATCACATTTTGTAGATAAGAGAGTTGTGCATTATTTCATGGTTGGTAACATAATTGCCTTGAATCAGTTTGCTCAGTTTACAAGGCCAAGGGTTCAGATGTTATGGAGCAGTCAACTTTTCTCAGCTGCAAAACAAACCTGCTGTTTGAGATGGCTCAAGGGGAGTGGCTGATAGATGCACTGTTCCAGATAGAGGGGCGGAGAGAGGGCGTGGCATAGGCACTGGAGGCAGTGAGGGGCTCTGATTGAAGAAGCTAAGGTTAATCTTATGTGTATAAATTCATTGAAAATAGATCTTAGTACAAAACAAGAATGGAAGTAAGAGAGGGAGGAGGAAGAGGGGTGGGAGGGAGGATATGGTGAGAAGACTCACTGTGTTCCTACATTTGTATTTATGAAATGTATGAAGTTTGTATACCTTAAATGAAAGGTTTCCAGGTTAAAAAATAATAATAATAAAAATAAATAAGAAGACCTGGAACAAGAAACAACAGTGGTAGATTTGAGCACTTGCATGGGGATGAGTACATGTTCTGCTAAACGTGAAAATTTGGAACAAATGTGCCAGAGCCTCTTTGAGGTGTGCATTCTGCCTTAGAACCAGGGAGAAGGAAACCTGAAGACCCTTGAATGTGAATAAGCGTGAATTATTGTTTATCAGTAAATTTCTGGTGAAGGGACTGATTTGTGTTCTCATGGGGCTGGTGCTCTGGCATACAAGGCTAAGTCTCTACCTGAGGGGCCAGCATCCCATATTGTGCACTGGCTCAAGTCCCAACTGCTCCACTTCTGATCCAGCTCTCTGCTATGGTCTGGGAAAGCAGCAGAAGATGGCCCAAGTACTTGGGCCCCTGCACTGCGTGAGAGACCTGGAAGAAGCTCCTGGCTCCTGGCATTGGATTGGCCCAGTTCTGGCCATTTCGTCCATTTAGGGAGTGAACCAGCAGATGGAAGACCTCTCTCTCTCTCTGTCTCTCCCTCTCTCTGTCTATAACTCTGCCTCTCAAATAAATAAATAAATATTTAAAAAAATAAAGAGGTTGGAGGACTCCTTTAGCACTTGACTGACTACGTGGGTGAGAGCCCACCATAGACAGGACAGACGTGAGCTAATCCTTGTTGAGCAGAGCCCAGGAAGCATATTCCTCCCTGGAGGGTTCCTCCTGCCTGTGTGCCTGTGTGTCCCACTGATGGTTGGCTACAGCAGCGTGTGGCAGGAGGCTGGCTCCCAATGGCAGCAGAGTTTTAGGCAGATACATAGACTAGGGCTTTTAAGTTATGTGGCAGAATAAATGGAACAGTGCCTGGGGAGGAAGTGGGGCAGGGAGATGGTGAGTGTGAGAAAAGCACCTCCATCAGGAAGGGCCTCTTGCAGACTTCAGACTAGAATAGCAGGTGGCTGTATCTCCTTCCCATCACACTGACTGTGGAACACCATCCCAGACTCAGATGTGAGCCTGCTGGGCATCACTGCTGGCTGGCAGGAACAGACCACAAACGGCAAAGAGATGAGCTGCTCAGAGGAGCTCGGTCCCAGGGGTAGTGTGTGATTCTGCCACTCACTGCAGATTGACCGCAGGCGAAAGGTTTGTTCACACTAAATGGCTGGAGAAGATAGAAACAAAAACTGAGAGGAGACCTCCTCAACTCCCTCACTTTCTTTTTTGGGAAATACCCCTGGAGATACGTGGTAGGAAAATGGGCCCTCGAGATTGATTTGCCATGAATTTGTGTTATTGTAGAACCTGCCTCCACCCTTCCTCAAAAGGCTGACATTGTTCCATGTTTCATAAGAAACACGAAGAATGAAGAATGAGTTTATACAGGTACTTACCAGATTTTTAAAATTTTTGTTTATTTTCATTTTATCTGAAAGGTGTAGACAGATAGAGAGAGATCTTCCCACTACTTTACTCCCCAAATGCAAGCAACAGCCAAGGCTGGGCCAGACCAAAGCCAGGAGACTGGAACTCAATCTCACGTGGCTTGCAGGGAGGGATACAACTATTTGAGCCATGAGCTGCTGCCTCCCAGGGTGTGCATTAGCAGGAAGCTCGAATCAGGAGTGGAGCCAGGACTCAAACCCAGGCACTCCAATGTGGGATGCAGCCATCTAAAGTGGCATCTTAACGTTTGCCCCAAACATACCACCATGGGGATTTTTTCTATTTATATTTTGTGCAACAGTTTTTCAAACTCTTCACAGCTACAAAATCAGCATCTCCATAAGAAGCATGTTTTGAATCAATTGCACGGGTTATATCCCATCAATTTCACTTCTGTCCAAACTGAGAGGTGGCACTCTTGGAATCCATGGGTGATGGCGGTCACTGGATATTTTATCCTTAGCTACAAGTACTCATTTGCATAGCATCATGATAAGTTCTTTTCATTCATTCTATAGATGTATATTTATTATCTTCACAATAGGAAACTTATCTAGAATTCTTTCATTTTTAACGTTTCTTTTGAGTAAAATTTACATACAATAAATTGCACAACTCTACAGCAAATAATGAATTTTGGTGAATCCAGTCAACCATACAATTCCTATCTCTTTCTCTAACTCTGCCTTTCAAGTTAATCAAATAAATCTTTAAAAAATGAGATTTAAGTATTTATTTATTTATTTGAAAAGGGGGAGGAGAGAGAGAAAGAGAGAAATCTTCCATTTGCTGGTTCACTTTACATATGTTTGCAATGGCCAGGGATGGGCTGTGAAGCCAGGAGCCAGGAGCTGCCTTCAGGCCTCCCATATGGGTGGCAGGCTGGGGCCTAACTACTTAGGACATCATCTGCTCTTTTCCCAAGTACATTATCAGGGAGCTAGAACAGAAGCTGAGCAAGTGGGACTTAAACCAGCACTCTCATAAGGACATTGCAAGCGGTGGTTCAACCTTCTGGGCCACAATACCAGCTTCTGTTTTTTTTTTATATTTTGTCCAGAGTTTAAAATTATTATCTGAAGGACAGTTATCCTAATGCAAGTGACTCCTCTGTCATTACCGTAAGCCTCCTCCATTACTCCCCAAGCCCATGCCAAGACTTTTGAGACTGAGCAGCTCATGCTAAACTGGTTATCAAATGACCGCACTTGACTTCAGTTGGTGCCTGTGAGTCTCTGAAGGCGAAGGGGAGGAGAGACAGACTGTTTGATAGTTCCCTCTCATAAATGACAACCATCCCAGTCCTCACGTGAGACCGAGATTAACCTGGTCAACAATCTTCTGGGTGCTGGAATTTCTCATCTGAGTCTCTGTTTTCCACACGCAGGAACAACGCAATGATTTTTAAGAAGATATCATTAGAAGCAGGGAAAGCCATTTACAATCATGTACATTTTCCAGAGGACTGAGTGAAGAGTGAGAGCCAGGGCAAAACGCTGAACAATATGGAAAAGGGGGGAGAAATGAGTCATATTACAAATCGGAACTGGAGTAGTCTACATAAATTCCCGATCTTCTGATGTTTTAAGTTTTCATTTGCAGTTCATTGAACTAGATTCACAGCTATGCAATTCCAGCCACGGCTGACTTAACTTGCAGAATTGTTAAAGGAAGCAAAAAAGGACAGACCAAATTCAGATTCTACAAAGTTATTTCCAATGAGCAAATTCTCATTGTTGATTATAGGGTGGAATATAAATGAGTGATGTGCTCTTTGATCGGCAAATCTTTGGTTATCTTTGATGTATAAGCAGAGTCATTTTTGTGGAAGGACAGATATTTATTAGTTACTTACACTGACAATGGTTGGAAAATATTAATATATCTTTATATTTGTTATCTCCCTGTCCTGCTTGCTAATGGAAAGAGGACAAAAATGAATAGTTGAAGAAATGTATATCTTGGGCAATGTAATTTATGATCTTTTCACAGTGCTTTGGCTTATCTTTCCTTAATGAATGTCTCCACATTATTTTGTTTTTTGTGTGTGTGTGAATTCAGGAAAAGACACTGGTTGAATCTTGAGTCAGTGCATCTTATTCCATGAAATATATCATTGGATTTTAAGGAATTTACATTGTTTTAATCCCCTGTTCCTTAGAAGCATGTACTTGAGGTCATAGCCCGTAAAGATTCTCTTTCCTATGCTTAATCCTGCTTTTCAATTTGGAAAAGGAATTTTATTGGCTGTATTGAGAACACAAATGCCAAATAGCCAAATCATATTATGTAGAGAGTTGTGATTTAATTGATTCTCTTATTGGCTTGAATTTTGAGTCTGTCAGGCTGCTGATTGACATTTGTCAGCATGAATTTTAAGTAGCACAAAAAACTATTTTTCAAAACTTTCCCATAAAAATACCTTTTCCATTATTTTCTCCTTCCATGGGCTCACATTTTAAGATTTAGTTTAGTACAATAAACTACATTTTCTAGGAAACCGTTTGTGATGCCTTATTCCAGATAAATATAAAATTTTGGGGGGTCTTTTAGATTGTAGAAAGCAATTTATGAGCCCACATTTATTTATTCTGGTTAATTCAAATGGTGCAGGTGTCTCAATAGGTACGTAGTTAGTAAAACAGCTAGAAATTAATGGCTTTCTTGATAACAACATCCGTCTTATTAGAAATGTATTCAAGACTAACTTTAAAACTAAGTCACTAAAAAGGAAGTACTACCTGTGCTAGTCATTTCTGCCGACATCCAGAAAAGGAAATTGACATATTTACAAAATACTGTGGGGTGATATCTTACTGAGTATTTTATATCTTTATTTTTCAAATGTGTTTATCTGAGAGGCAGAAAGAGGGAAAGACCAGAGACAGACAGATCTCTCATCCTTTGGCTCATTTCCCTGGATGCCCACATGGCTGAGGCTGGGCTGGGGCTAAAGCTAGGGGCTGGAAGCTAGAGGTACAGCTGTGCAGTTGCAGCAATGGCTGACTTAACTTTGACTTAACTTGCAGAATCGTACAAGGAAGCAAAAAAAAAAAAAAAACCAGACCAAGTGTCAGAACTGGGCAGGAATCCAGTGACTTTAGCAATCTCTTCTCCCTCCCCAGGGTCTGCATTGGTGGGAAGCTGGGGTCAGGAGGCAGAGCCTGGACTCAAACCCAGGCACTCCAAGGTGGGATGCAGGAATCCTAACCACTAGGCTAACCACTAGGCTCTCTATTTTTTTTTTATTTGATAAAGAGGTAAAGAAAAAGAAAATCTCACAGAATACTGAATGTTTAAGTGGGTTTACATATTCTCCACACTGTTGCTTCCCCAAACTTTTACTTCTGTCATGTCACTTGTTTCAGCTTTCCCTCTCCCTGCTTAGAGATGATGCCAACTTCTTGCAGGGGAATTCCTACCTTTGTCTTCTGTAACCCCTGCCCCAGCCCCACCACAACGGGAAATGTAGTTAGTGATTCCACCCTCAGCACTCCCTGTAAACTGCTGCTGATCTCTGAAAGGCAGAGAGAGAGAGAGAGAGAGAGAGAGAGAGAGAGAGAGGTTTTCCATCTGCTGGTCAACTCCCCAGATGGCCACAATGACTGGAGCTGTACATAACTGAAGCCAGGAGCCAGGAGCTTCTTCCAGGTCTCCCACATGGGGGCAGGGGCCCAAGGACTCGGGCCATCTTCTACTGCTTTCTCAGGCCACAACAGAGAGCTGGATCAGAAGTGGAGCAGCCGCGACTCAAACCAACACTCATATGGGATGCCAGCACTGCAGGCAGCGGCTTTACCCACCACGCCACAGCACCGGCCCCATGATAGGTAATTTTTAAGCTGCTCTTAACTTGCCTTTCCCTCAGCATCAGGGCATGACCTGCTTCTTTCTGAAATGTTCTCTTTCTGGGATTTGGGAACAAGGCTCCATCTCAGTCCCCTCTTAACTCTGACTTCTCTTTTTTCTGCCTGCTTAGCTGGATCCTCTTCGCAGACACGCTCTTCCCCAGGGTTCTGTAACTGTCACTCTTTCCTTCTTACTTAGTCCTTTTTCACTGAATAAGTCAATTTATTTCCATCTTCCTGGGCATTTTCTCATCCTAGGCTTTCTTGTAATTTTGTCTGTCAAACTCCTATAGATGTTTTGAGAACCAGCTGGCTGTCAATTCCTCTTAGTAATGCTTCAAAGCCAGCTCAGGTGAATTTTCTATCCAGGACATCAATCTCCATTCCCTCAGATGACTGGTTTTTATGTACTTCCATTATTGTTTTTCTACTGTTAACATGCCCCCTTTTCTACTGACTGTGAACTCCTGGAGGCAACTTTTGCACCCTGTTTTTTCTTTTTATTTCTAGTGCTTACTATACTACAGTGGTGTGTGGTACTTGCTCAGCAAGGTGTGTGCAGAGTGCCTGCAAGAATGTGAGAATAGACAAGCAAATACAAGCAGTAAAACTATTTAAGATCTTCATTCCATCCATCTGCTCCAGTCTCCACAGAATGTGCTCATAGCTGCAGAAGCAGTAGGTGTTGGGAAGTTGCAACCTCACATGCATGGAAGCAAACTTGGCCTTTGTCATGTATGCCTCACAGTATGTAAGTTCATGCAAACTTGGCAAAGAAAGCCCTCCATTTGCTTAAAGTTGTTTCTATCAATTTTAAACCTCACATTTTCTGATAACCTTTAAAGAGCTTCCACTGACAAACTAATCATGTTCCCATTATATATGCTATCTTGTTTGTATGACATTATATACTTTCATTTGTCTTTATTCATTATGCTGAAAATTTAATTGGACTAGTAATAAAGCAATATCAAAGAAATGACTTTCTTTTCAGAAATAAAATATGGTATTTTTTTTACTTGTCAATGCAATTTGGCTTTCAATATTCAAAAAAAAGGTGCATTTATAGTTAATGGTTAGAGACTTTGAGAAAACAGTTATGATAGCTAATTACTTTGGTTGATAACACATATCAGATAATTTCTTAATGAGTCCATAGGAAGTCTCTGGTGAAATTGAGAATTCTTATAATAAGATACAATGAAATATAGCTGTGTACAGCTGATCTCTTAATTTAAATCATCCTAAAAATAACAAAGCTGACAAAAATTATTAATCCTTGAAATTCACCATCTTGTATAGTATAAGATTAACTTTCCACCCATTATTTAACTTTTGGGAAATCACTAATTTGAGGTAATGGGGTTTTTATATCTTGATTTTGGAATATCTTTGACAAAAAGCAATCTTACTCTAACATTCTACAATTGCATATAATCTTTTTTGTTGTTGTTATTTATATTCACTTGGCTAAGCAAGAAAAAATAAAATGACTTTCTTGTTACATAATTATCTGCAGAGTAAATTACAAACTCTCCAAGCTCATAGAAAGCAAGAAGGATTAGATTGCAACATGCTGACAAATAATTTGCCATGACTGTTGCTTATTTTCAGGCACATCTTGATACATAATTAGTTCCTTTTCCTTAAAACAGGTCAAGTTTTTTACTTTATTTCTGAGGTCAATTTATACAATATATCAGGGTAGTAACAGCATTATTTATTTTATTGGATGAGAAGGACTTTATTGGGCAGAGAAAAATCCTTCATTTCTGTCTTCGCATCTGCGTTGAAGTCAGTAAAGAAATAAAAGTCCAATTGCTATCTCTGACAGTACTGGGCAAGCAAAGGATAGAAGCCACAGAAAAAGAAAGAACAAAATTGAAATAACTACTGTGGTTGCCTTAATAGAAAAGTGAAGGAAAGTTCCAGAAAAATCCCAAGGAAATAAATTGCTTTTCTTTGAATATATTCACAGCACAGATAACAAATCATCATAGGCATTTCTTTCTGGATTTCTATAATAGCTATCCTGGCAAATCTGGTAAGTTCACAAATGACCATGAGACACAGTCATGGAATTGTGTCCTAATAGCATATTCTAAAAAGAGTCTATGCTTAACTCAGTGTCTAGAATTGACTGCATGATGTTGATTAAAATCCTAAACTAAGTTTATTATAAATGGCTCAACAAAGTCAAAGTCAATACAGAAGTTGGAAAAGCTTCTGGACTTCTAGAAGTCTTCCTGCCATGCACCTTCTGCCTTTGCTTTTATTTATTTATTTTTAATTTTTATTGCTTATTTATTTGGAAGGTAAAGTGATATAAATAACATCTATAGGTTCAGTTCCCAAATGCCCACAACAGTGGGACTAAGCCAGAAATGGAGCCAGATTCTGAGAACCCAATGCAGATCTCCCCTGTAGATGATGGAAGGAACCCCAAAATACTTAAGCCAACATGGATGCTTCCAGGGCCTACATTAGCAAGAAAGTGGAGTCAAGACCTAGAGCTGAGAATTGAACTCAGATACTCCAATGTAGAACATGGGCCTCATAACTACTTTTTTTGCCTCTAAATGTCTAGGTTACCTGGAACTTTGTGAACCTAAATATAAGACAGTGGATCACTGTTTAGCATTTATAGTCTCCCTAACTCAAGAATGTGAAGTATTTTAAAGACCAAATCAGATACAAAATTGGGGATTAACTCAAGAGATGAAAAAAGTATAAAAGCTTAATGTTCATTTATTCTTGATGATCAGTGACCCAAAACTGAGAAAAAGCAATGCAAAATGTAGTAAGAAAATTACCATGGGATTCTAAGGAATTTTTTTAAATTACAGGAGTCAACTCAGATTGGCATCTCAAATTCTGAAAAAGCAATTACCCAAAAAAAAAAAAACAAAAACAAAAAAAAACAAAGACCTCATCATATACATAAAAACCAAAATTATATACATAAATAACATAATTATAATCACAGTGGAAATGACATACCAGAGATAAGAGGTATAAATTCTTACATAGTATCAGAAGGGAGTGGCTATAAACCCCAAAAGAGATCATTGTCCTTTGCAGGAGGCTGATAAAGTTGCTTGTAGTTCATCACATCCAACCCCCTGCAAAGCCATATACACACACATACACACACGTATATAGACACACACATATATATGTATTATTTTTGATGACAGACTAGATCACCCACCCACCCCCCACATACAAACCCTGGTTATGTCCAAATCAAGCCTCCAAGGAGTGATTAACATGTTACCACTGAAAGAGTTTAATGTTTTCCTATACAAAAGGCATTCTAAATATGAAGCACTATCAACTGATAGTATGCATAAAAGTTTCATTGTTACATGTACAGGCATGATATAAGCCTTATCAGATATATCCTCCAATAAATGAGGTCACTCTTAGGAATATAATCTTATGTTTCTGGTAATAATTTTGATCTCGTTTATGTAGCAGAAAATCATCTTTTCAAAAGCCCCAGGATTTCAAAAAGTTCATGGAAAACTGGAATTAAAAGATAAATTTATTTTAATGAAAAAAGTTTAAAATCCATGCATAGATTTTTTTCATAATATGTGTTATTCCATCAAAATTTTTTAAAGATTTATTTATTTGAAAGAGTTACACAGAGAGAGGAGAGGTAGAGAGAGAGAGAGGTCTTCCATCCCATGGTTCACTCCACAGTTGGCCGCAACAGCCGGAGCTGCACCGATCCGAAGCCAGGAGCCAGGAGCTTCTTTGGGCTCTCCCACGTGGGTGCAGGGGCCCAAGGACTTGAGTCATCTTCTACTGCTATCCCAGGCCAAAGTGGAGAGCTGGATCAGAAGTGGAGCAGCCGGGACTAGAACCAGCGCCCATATGGGATGCCAGCACTTCAGGCCAGGGTGTTAATCCACTGTGCCACTGTGCCTCTATAAAATTTTTAAAGAACAGTAATATGCACGGGTTTCCAAGTGTTTTGCACAGAAATAAACATCTTTTAATTCTAGTTTTGATGTAGTCTTTGTCATGTTTCTGAGTATGAATGCTAAGCTATTTGTAAATGTCCATGTTAAGTAAATAACATTGTGAGAGTATTAGGTCCCTTAACCAACAGGCTGAGAAAAAATCATGCAAATTAATTATTCTCTAGAGACAAAATTACTCAAAGATGCATAGATGATCTACTTGGGTATTTGGTTTTTTAAATCTACTTTTTAATTTACCTTTGAGAGGATAACATTTACATCAGACTTAAGGTCAATTAACTTGCAAATATGATAAATCAGTTTCCTTGCAAACATACCAAACATACACTTACAATATTTCAAATAGATTTCTTAGGAGAGACTTGATTTCTATTTGTTTTCAAACTGTTAAATCACTTTGAAATACTCATATGAGATAATATAAATTGATGTTGATAAATAATAAGAAATACATTGTGATTGTTACTTTACACACAAATCCCTGATAATGTCATACAGAATGGACTTTTGCTTTGGGTGATTTCTCATGCTAACAATTAGGACCAGTGAGTATCTGAGGAGCACTGAGAGGCTGACAGCCAGGAAGGCACAAACTCCTGACACCACACCACCTGTCTACATGCATGGGTAATACAACTTGTTCATCACCAGTCACTCAAATCAATATTTTCTAGTCATTATATAAAACAGACATTTGCCCAAAACTTCTTTAATTTTGGCAGAAATGCTTTTAAATCCTAAGGGATGGCTTGGAGGAAAAGTTATCCTACCATGACTGACTACTATAGGTGGACTAAACCTCAACTATTACAGTAGAAAGGCCCATCACAGTTTTTAGTAAATCCTTTTAGTACCTTTGGACAGTTCCATATTTAAAAATCATTTTCCTACCTGAAAGCTTCAGAGCCTACCATTCTAATAATTGGAGTCGCCACTACAGGTTAGAAGGAACCCACAGCTTGGGAAAATGAAGGCACTCATATTTCATAAAGAATTAATATGTCACCTGGTACATCCCATTCATAGCTGTAAAAGGAGATGGAGAACAGGAGATTTGGAGGGTGGAGATAGAACAGAGCAGAAGCCAGAGTAACAGACAGACAGAGTGAAGATTCAGGGTCAGAAGGGATCCTCATAAAGGAATCCGAATACCACAGTGATGATGATGAGCGTGGGTATGTTCCCATGGTCCTCACGGGGGAGGAGGGATGTAAGAATGTGGGAGACACAGAAGATAAACTTCTTCGAAACTGAGTTTGGAGCTGCTCTCTGCCTTGCAGTCACAAGAGGAATGAAAAGTTTGACAGGAAAATAACACCTGTTAGAATCTGTCATTAATAGAGCTAAGCGTGGGTTTCTGTACAAGAGTCCCTCCGAGCACAAAATCACAAGACTGGCAGATGCTGTTTCCTAATAAAGTCTGACAGGCAGCATTTCACAGTGTATCTGTCTGTGGATGGCCGAATTTCCTTCTGCAAGGGACAGGAACCATGCCTGAGTGAAGAAAAGGAAATGGAAGGTGTCCGTTAAAATAGATAAGATTCTGTCACTGGGTTTTCACTTCCTATTGACAGCTATCAACCGCCTGTTGCTCTGGGTGATTACTTGGATGAGGGTGTCAGGACACCAGACTTTCCTTCAACCTTGGGCACAGCATCATGGTATTTTCTTGGTTGGTCTGTGTTCCTTTTCTAATGGGCTTTTAAATTTTAACATTATTATTCTGCTCCTTTGTCTAATCTCTCTCCTTCCTGCAAGCACTTGTGCACTGAAACAGCTTTTCTAAATGACTTGTGCACTGATGTGGTTTGATGATATGAATCAGGAGCTGCTCAGCCCAGAGGATAATTTCCCATTGGCAAACTGCTGAGTCCTTGGCAAAGCCCCAACACCTCCTAGGTGACGAGCTTTGGGTTGATGACAGTGGCTGAATAGGACATTCAGGTGATGAGCATGGGTGTGTTCCCATGGTCCTCACAATCCTTGCTTCTG